TTCATAAGTGCTTACTATATACTAGACATTATTCTATGTACTATTAAATTATTTTTCTTAATTCTTCTATTCCCCCTAAGAAGTAAGTACAATTTTATCCTCATTTACAGATGAGGAAATTGAAGCTTGTAAAGTTTAAGTAATTTGATCAGGAACATAACATCAGGAGCTAGGAGTGGTGGAGCAAAGATTGAAAGGGTAATTTGACTGTGGCACTATTGCACTGATTTACTTTCTTATCAACAATGTCACAAATCAGTAAGCAATCAGGATATTAAAACATCTTACCTCTTTGCTGCCTTCATCACCTGACTTGCTCTGAGTCTCTTTATTATCCAGATTTTCTATATCAGATTCTCCTGAAGCAATTGGTACAGTTTCTGAGACACTAGGACTGGGGATAAGGGATTGATTCTCATTTTCGGTCATTGTGTTTTTCTCTGTGCCACTGCTTTTTTCCTTATCCTTGAGGAAATCTTGAGTGTTGCTCAAATCAGATAGTGTATGGTCAGAAATATCCTCTTTAACATATACATCATTTACATGGTCCATTGTCTCCTTTGGCATATTTCGTTTTTTGCATAATATATTAAGAAACACATAGTTTATTCCTTTTTTAATCCTTGCCATTGCAAGCTGGAGATTTTTTGCTTCATTGTTCTTTTCAGTTGTTGTAGTGTTGTACGAACTAAATGAGCTCACCAATGCCAGAAACAGGTAAAGTAACTAAATGAGGAAGTAAAATGAGGCTAAATGTATCTCATTGTTTTCTTTTTAAACAATAAAAAAATCTTTTAAAAAAGCTGATTTGAAAACACTTAATATCTGCTAGCTTAGCATTTTTGGAAATACAATATATTATCATTAACTGTCACCAAGTTGTACAATAGATCTCTTGAACTTATTCCTCTTACGTAACTGTAGTTGTATATCCTTTGACCAACATTTCCCCAATATCCACTCCCCATTAGCCACCCCAGGCTTTGGTAACCACCATTCTACTCTCTACTTCTAGAGAATGAATATTAAATGTTCTCACCACAAAAATGATTACTATGTGAAATAAGGCATTTGTTAATTAGCCATTAATAGATTTAATCATTCCACAATCTATATATACTTCAAAACATTATGTTGTACACAATAAATACTTACAATTTTATAGTCAATCTAAAATATAAATAAATTTGAAAAACAACCGACCTGAGATTTGAAAACTGAGTGCATGAACTAAAATGATACTCAGTTCTTACTTATCTACAATGTGTCAGGTGCTGTACTAGGGGTTTGTATACCCAGAACTCATCTTAAGCTCACAACATCCTATGCAATATGATTTATTTCTCTTTTACAGATGAAAAGGCAAAACTAATAGATATCAAATATCAAAGATCACACGGATTAGACTCAAGTTTGTCTTATTTCAAAGCTAATTTTCTACTGAGCCATTGTCTCACCCAAGGTGAGAAAATGAATTATTACTCCAGGCAACTCACTTCATTTCAGCTTTATGCCATGAAGACATGTAATGATTCTGCAAACCGAGGAGGAATTTCATGGGGAGAGAGCTAGCCATGGTCCTGAAGACCACATCTAATGGTTCTTGAGACATGCAACACAGATGTTGGGTAGTTTAGTTGATTCTCTGTTGTGATAAATTTGGTCAAGCAAGAAACAAATGAGTAAAGGTAGAATAATTCCTAATACTTGTAACTTATTTTGAACTCAAGGATAATATATATTTTGGCTTTTACTATCACTGAGAAATATGATTAAGGACTGTTAAGTTTCCAGAGAATAAGATTTTAATCTTGTTTGCAATTGTAGGGCATAGATTATATTTTTGGATAACTGTGCTGACTATTTATGGGTACATAAAATTAAATAAGTATGTGAATATCTCTAAACACACATATTTTAAAACTTCTTTCAAAAATTTTGGAACTATGTGAAGAGATGAGGTTCTCTAACACTCTGATAAATACTGTTTTTCTCATGGACATACACACCTGAAATAATATGAACTGCCCTTCAAATAGCGTTCAATCCTAATGGGTTACTTTTACTTCTTCTACCTAGATCTTCAAATCTCTTTGCAATAAAGTTCAAATAAGATTCATATGGAAAAATAAAAATACTATTGCAGATAATAAAGTCATCAAATAGATAATATAAATCTCAACCATAGTTTTGGCATAGCAACAAAAATTTAGGTTACAAGATAGCTAGCTCATTGTGGGAAATCTCTTACAGGTAAAATCATCTGGACAGCTGATAGATATTTTCTATAATACACAACAATGGAATCTCAGAGGAGAGAAAATAAAATTTTAAAAGACAATGATCAAATGCTAATACCTTCAGAGATTAGTTCAACTGTTCTCTCACTAATGTCTCATTTGGCAATGAGGTTTACTTACAGATAATCTGTGAGGGGCTCATGGTCCTCTTAGGAATCACATTATTAACATCTCTATCATTCTTAAAGGACAGAGTTTCCTGATATAAGAAGGTGAGACCTAATATAATTTAAGATAGGTGGTTGGCTTTTTTTTCCTCCTTCAATTAAGCATTAGGCATAGTGTGAAATATGCAAAAGGTGTTAGGTAAGAGTTTTATGACTCTAAGCTTTATATGAGCAGAAACCAGGTTTTCTGGTAATTAGACAACCAGCACACTGCTAGGCACAAAGTAGGTGATAAGTAAATATTTGTTGACAAAATTGGTTACAGAATGAATAAAAGAATAGATTTTGAGCCAAGATTTGGACAAGGAAAAATGATGCTATACCAATTATATTTTAAGAGATTACAAACAATCTAAGATTTCTTATATCTTAGACACACACATTCACAGGGACGTACACGCACATACATATATAGTGAGAATGTTAAAATGCTGAAAATGAAGTAATATTAAAAATTCAAAATGCTCTGAAACTGTGGTATAAAGAGAGAACTTTATAACACTGCAAAATGCTTTGCTCAGATGTGCTCTGAACTAAAAATAGCCTAGTCTCTTAAAGGATTAAAAAGGAAGAACAGGCTGTGTAAATGGCCAAAGCTATGGAGGATTCATTGCTTCTTCTTATCTGAA